TTGAACCTTGCCTTGTTACCCTACTTTCCCCATTATTACGCAGCTATAATACAAAGTGCAACACAAATCTTGTCAGAAGCAGTTCATTCCTGTCTGTGAGGAGGAGTCAAAAATTCAAATGCAACAACTCAACTTCTACTTAACTGAGGGTTGAAGGGAACATTTAACACTCAGATCACACAATGGCTTATAGGGCAGGGCTGCTGATTTTAACTGTCTGCTGGGCAGGTGAAAATTGTATATGTATATGGTGTATATGTATCTCTCTCTCTCTCTCTCTCTCTCTCTCTCTCTCTTTAATACATTTCTTTTTCATTTGGACAGGTGTTGATGGCCAGACTCTGACACAGTCTGAACCAGTGGTCAAAAACCCTGGTAATTCACATAGACTGACATGTGCAGCATCTGGATTCACATTCAGCAACTACTGGATGCACTGGATCAGACAGGCTCCTGGAAAAGGACCGGAATGGATTGCTATTATACGCACTTCAAGTTATAGTTATTCTGCGTCTTATTCCCAGTCAGTCCAGGGTAGATTCACCATCTCCAGAGATGATTCCAGCAGTAAACTCTACCTACAGATGAACAGCTTGAAGACTGAGGACACAGCAGTTTATTACTGTGCCCGACACAACACAGTGAGAGACAGCAATAGAAATGCCATACAAAAACTACTTCCTCTATTTCCCAACACCAGGGAATGTTTGGTTGACTCAGGGCTTTTTTCCTAAAAAACAGAGATAGTTTTGGCATGCCCTTACAACCCATTAAAAGACACACATTAAAAAAGAATAACATATACTCTTTTAAAAATCAATAAAGCATACAGTGTCATTATCACTTACAGTAGAGATTACTGAGAAGTATGTCACTATCTAAACATGTACAAACGACATCAACAAATTATTACAGCATTTCACCAACGGGTTGCCATTATTAGATATGATGGTGGAAGCACTTACTATTCTCAGTCAGTCCAAGGTCGGTTTACCATCTCCAGAGACAACAACAAGCAGCAGCTTTATCTGCAGATGAGTCTGAAAACTGAAGATTCTGCTGTTTATTATTGTGCTCGAAAGCTACAGTTACTGAAACTGTTCAACAGCTGTACAAAATCCTACCTTCCTCACTGTTAGGCCAGTAATATTGTCAAGATTATGTCGCAACTCTTCTCTTCTCTTCTTACTCTTCCCTTTTTCATTAGATACATCAATAGAAATTTGATTCCCAACTAAAATTTGTATTTTTTTAAACAGATTTTTTGGTCATTTGGTCCTTTCTTTAAGCAGCAAACCACTCCAGATTAGACTTAAGAGTAGGGATGGGTGCCATGATGGCACCGGATACCGGTAGTAACCAGACCGAAAAGCAGCGCACATTTCGGTGCTTTATTTCGGTGCTTTTTTTTCCTGAGATGTCACACACTTTGGATTCTAGCCAATCATTTTACATTTGCAAGCGTAGTAGGCGGGGCCAGGTACGTACGTTCTTTTAGAGCAGAGCTACAGATTAAAATGCCCAAGGCGAAGCAGTCAAAAGTCTAGCTGTACTTCACAGCAAAAGATGCAAACTCAGCAGCCTGCAACAAGCGCTTTAAGCTGATACTGTGATACTGTGCAAAGGAGGTAACACCTCGGATCCGATGAAACACCTGGCGACGCATAGCGTTTTGGTTTTTTTTAAAGCCGAGAAATACACCGTATTTGATAGCTTGCTGCGAGATCTCACACCGAGCACATCTACTGCGCGTGGGTTGCCTGTTATGCAACATCACCCAAAAACCCGAAGAATAGAGTCCTGGCCCCTAGCCCTGCCAGTGTAGCAGAAATGATGACGGATGATGATGCAGCAGCAGCCGTTCTTCTCTGGGTCAGTAGCTTAATGTTGTTCGTGTAATTTATGTTCAGTAGGTTAACTAGCAAACACCGTCATAGCTACATGCGGCTGTCTTCTTGTTTGATGGCAGATACTCCCTTCACCCTGGCCAAAAAGGCTAAAATGACCACAGAAAAAGTGGGAAACAGCTAAACATGAGAGGTTTTTGGATACAGTTTGTATTTTTTTCACCCATTGTTTAAGCACTGCTTCCAGCCAAGCGTGATACCATAAATCCCCTATAGCTGCAGAAAAGGCTAACATTGTTATCTTTTTACAAAAAAACAGCTGAACATGAGAGGTTTTTGGACAAAGTTTGTGTTCTTCATTCTTTAAGCACCGGCACCATTTCAAAAGTACCGGTTTGGTACTGGTATTGGATAAAACCTAAATGATACCCATCCGGTACTTAAGAGTTTTTAAAAATTAAAAGAACTTTAGGAGGCAACAAATAAATCGGTGAAATATGATAATAATTATAAGAAAATGGATCAATTATTGCACAGTTCTGTGCAGGGGGTCTTTATTTTTCGATCTTTTCTTTCTAAGGTATGAAAACGTATCTATGTTTGTTTTCCACTTATACTTAAATTAAAAGCAGTGTAACAATCAGTAACTTGTTTTTATTGCTATTACAATTCAACGATCAATCAAAAAAATATGCTTTGTGCATTTTCCAAGCATGTTTACAGTGATGCTTCACGTGACTGACTCTATGCAAACTCTTTGACTTCATCTGTTACTCATCTATAAAAACTTGACTGCACACCACACAGTAGAGTGCATGAATGCCACTTTAATCAAAAATAATGTTTTCTTTAGCTTTGTTAATTCTCTTAGCAGCTGAATGTGAGTGTAAATCTGTCAGAATCAGCTGTTTTATTTTTGTATTTTATTTTATGTTTTTTATCTTGTAATTTGCTAAATGTTCACAAAATATTTTGTTTTCCAACAGGTGTGAAGTGTGAGCAGCTGAAACAGCCAGCCTCTTTGACTGTGCGGCCAGGTCAACGTCTAAACAATCACCTGTCAGGTCTCTTATTCTATGAGCAGCTATTGGACTCACATGGTGAGACAGCCTGCAGGAAAAGGGCTGGAGTGGACTGGAAGAGCATGCGATGGATGCACATCAGAATACAAAGATTCACTCAAAACCAAGTTCAGCATTTCCACAGAATCTTCCAGCAACACACTTACTTTAACTGGACAGAATGTGCAGGTTGAAGACACAGCTGTGTATTACTGTGCCAGAGAGTCACAATAACACAAAGCATCAGCAGACCTGAACAAAACACTCTTCAGTGCTTCAGTAATCCAACAAAGGAGGAGCCTTCAAACTACTATAATATAAAGACTTGGTTTTTAAACATTTTCTTTTATGTGAGTGGAAGGGCAGCAGGAGATTGGGTTTTGGCTTTCAGTGATCATGTTAAGACACATAAAACTATTAAATCTCTGTGGAAAAGATCATGATTTGAGCTAAAATACAGCCCTCAATGGCATTTTTTGAAACCAAGGTGGTGGAACCAGTAAAATCAACGATCCACAACAAGATCGTCCTGTTTATTTTTGCGCTCGACACTCGATACATTGATTGATATGGTTACAAAACTCCTACTTAACTCACTGTTAGGACACAAATAATATTAGTTATCTCAATTCTTTTCAATATATAAGTTAATGAAAATTTGATTATAGATTATAGAGCTAAAAAATGATGACAGTAAAGAGACAACAATATCATCTCTGTACTGAATGAATTAAAGAACTACTTCTTCCACGAGCAGCAGTGGTGCCAAAATAGAGGCTTCAGCCAAAAATAAATAACAGAATAAATGTGTCAGACAGCTCAATTTCATCATAAGCATTTTTCTCCAACTCTGAAACACTGGTAGCTGAAATAAAAAGAGATTAATTAATTACTGCTAATGTTGTTAAAATAAATACTTTTTCTACGGAATGTATTAAAAGTAGAAAGTGGGTTTTATCATGCCAAAATATACTATAACCATGCTTTAAGGGTAAGGAGTAATTCTGACAGAGGGCCTCTTAGTTTCCATTTGTTGTAATCATGGTTATGCAATGACAATTTATTGAATATGTTTTTCATTATTTCTAGTGAATTCTCTTCAAACAGTATAATCAGCACTTTGGTTCATTTTGGTTAATTAAATGCTGAAATGAAATGCAGTGTTACCACTGGTGACTTGTTTTACTGCTGTTACAATTACAGTTTGTATAGTCTATGAAGCATATTTTTTATTACTTTGCATAATATGACTGGCTCCAGTTAGATCAGTTTCCAATGATGATTCATGTAAACGATTCTATGCAAACTCTTTGTCTTCCTGTGATTCAGATATAAAAACTTGACTTGTAGAACAGACTTCACTTCAAATTGCTTTTAGCAAAAACAATGTTTTCTCTAGCTCTGTTACTGCTCTTAGCAGCTGGATGTGAGTGCCTCTAGATTTGTCACAGTCAGCAGGCTTTTTTGTTTGTTTGGTTTTTTTTGATAAATGTTCACAAACCATTTCTTTTTTCAACAGGTGTGAAGTGTGAACAGCTGACACAGCCAGCCTCTTTGACTGTGCGGCCAGGTCAACGTTTGACCATCACCTGTCAGGTCTCTTATTCTGTGAGCAGCTATTGGACTCACTGGATCAGACAGCCTGCAGGAAAAGGACTGGAATGGATTGGAGAAGAGCGTGTTGGATACACAACATACTACAAAGATTCACTTAAAACCAAGTTCAGTATTTCCACAGACTCTTCCAGCAACACAGTTACTTTAACAGGACAGAATGTGCAGCCTGAAGACACAGCTGTGTATTACTGTGCCAGAGAGCCACACACTGTAACACAAAACATCAATAGACCTGAACAAGAACTCTGCAGTGCGTCAGTAGTTGTAAACCAGCAGAGGAGGAGCTTCTGGACCATTGTTGTTTTTAAATGCCACTTTTAAACAGATCAAGTATCGTATGATAATAATAATAAATGATACAAAAAAAGATCACTTTTTTATAATTATTTGTTTTAAAGCCTTTAAATGTTAATTGTGCCACATATATGTACTGTAAATGTCTTAAGCTTCATCATTTTCAAAAAGAAAACACTTTGAATTGGGATAAAAATACTACATCTTCACTAAACTAAATGTATATATACATATATATATATATATATATATATGTGTTACAGGAAAAATGATTCTATGTTTCTTTACCTTCTTTTAAATGTACAAAGATGCCCTTTGTCTATGGTTAGATTA